TAAGACATATAACGTAACAAAATTAAAGACGATTAAAATCTGTAATCTTTCCACTTGTACTGTATGTCATCGGAAAATACAAGAACTTTCTGCTTTGTGTAAGGATGGTATCAAAAAGTAATCTAAGTGGTGAGAAAGCTGTGCTCAATGTATTTAAGGGACGTAAAAGTAAAAGGAGATGCTTCATATTGCTATAAAGTTATAAATGCAGACTCTCCCTCGGTGCCGCGCCGGGTGTAAATATCTAAATATATATTCGTCCCGGGCAGAGGCCGAAGAGCTCCCGTCTGGGGTGCGCGGGGAAGAGCAGGACTGGAGTGAAAGTGGTCAGGGCGGGGTTTAGGTACGCCGGCTTCACTGTGGGACAGCCGCACTGGTCGGCAGTGAAGCCGGCGTACAGTCTGGGCAGGTATAGATTACACTTTTCTAAAACCTATTTGAAAAATAAAAACGATTACAATCTAATCCTTCCACGTTTGATCCCAGAATCCCAAGAAAAATAAATCTAAACGGGGAGAAAGCTATGCTGAACGTTTATTAAGATACTTCGAAGACAAAGATACCGTATCAATTTATGTTGCATTTGTCTGATTATGATTAAAAAAAACACATATAATTAAACACGTGTTTGCGATTTAAATCAAAACGCGATTTAAATCAATATAAATGTTTATATTGTAACGCATACTGTCCAGCCTCCATTTCTCTATAAAAATTTACTCTATTCCAAATCTATAATTTGTTGATATATAAATGTTAGGTTCCCTAAAGCTTTGTGATAGTTGACCCACCCAGGCAGCAAAAGATCAGCTGCACTGGTAAGATGTGACACTGAAGATATGATTATTAACCTTTTAAATCTGAAGGGAGATCTGAAGGGATCCCCCCCCAACGCACACACCATAGAAGCAGGAAGCAGAAGCAGGGACCGTTGTCAGAAGGGAAGAAGGTGACTATTCATTGTTATCAAGAATGACTTAAATTCGATCATGTTGTGATATTTTGAAATATAAAAGTCAATTGATTGTCCATAATATTGCTATTCTATTTTTTTGAAGAAATGTTTGTTAAAAGAAAAGTCACAGCACCAGCTGGATTTGAACACACAACCCGTAAGTTGATAATCAAGCA